ACCGGAAATTTCTTTACTTACGTTCAACGAAAATTAGATACTCGATTGCACTTTCTAAAAAAAAGTAAAGCTGAAGTCTTATAATAATATCTTTTGAAAGAACAAACAAAGATAAAATATTCAAGCATGCGGATCTATATTTTTGATACAAATGTTTTAAAGTAGTTTCTAAAATTTTTATTGAAAAGTTATATTCCACGAAGTATTTTTTAAGCAAACTTGAGTCTTTAAATAAGAATGCAACACACCGAGAAAAATCGGTTCATAATATCGTATAAATTTGCATCAATAAATTTACAATTTTAACTATATTTCTATTCAAGTTGAAATATACACAAGGAAAAAGATCTGGTAAAACTACTGTAACTTATAGTAATGATATTTCTGGTAACTATACTTTTGGCAAATAAATCCAAAATATACGATATTGAAACCATTCATCTGGTAAATTTTCCGTTCGTATGGTAATAGTTGACTGGAAATTCTGATTTTCAAAATTGTAGCTCGTAATACTACACATTTAGTAAAATAAATACAAAAGAATGTAAATTTAACTGAATAAATAGTTTGCATGATAACGTTTAAAATATCAAAATAAAAATAGCAAATTTTATCACACCAAATTTAATCACAGACTATCAAACCATATTTTCGGTAAAAATTACCGCGCTTTTTAGTGTTCCCATAAAGCCAGGAACACGATAAATTTTGTCATATTCAGGTAGTTTTGACCATACTTTTTCCCGTTATGCACACGAAAAGAACTCATTCTGCCTCTTAAATAAATCAATAATAATGTTACATTAACTGAATTGATAACAAATACCGCGCTCTTTGATGTTCCCATAAGAGCCACGAGCACGATAAATTTTAGCACATTTTGACCCTACTTTTTTTCCTGCTATGCATACGAAAAGAACTCATTCTGCCTCTTAAATAAATCAATAACAATGTTACATTAACTGAATTGATAAAAAATACAGAGCTCTTTGGTGTTCCCATAAGAGCCACTAGCACGATAAATTTTAGCACATTTTGACCTTATTTTTTTCCCCGCTATGTATACGAAAAGAACTCATTCTGCCTCTTAAATAAATCAATAACAATGTTACATTAACTGAATTGATAAAAAATACCGCGCTCTTTGTGTTCCCATAAGAGCCACGAGCACGATAAATGTTATCACATTCTGGTAGTTTCAACCTTACTTTTTTTCCCATTATTTAGCAAATTAAAGCAAATTTAGCTTGTTCTACTCAATTATTTGTGTAATAACAATGTCATATTAATTGAATTAGTAATAATAACATATTAAATAAGATACTGAAAACACACAGTTTCGGATAGAGTAAACTGTAGAATTTTACTTTATTCTTTTTAGTCTCTGGCTTTAAGGAAAGAAGTTGTATATTATGCAGTTTAACTTTGTTTCCATAGATTTAATTTTTTGTTGCTTTTAATAGTAATCACTACAATTATATTAAAATACACTTCTACAAACACTTTAATTATTTCACGTTTTTCTTAAAGACATAATATAATAAAATAACATTGTTTAGCTATTTGATTGAGAATTCCTTTATTAACCTTGAAATGAAAATGATACACCTGTAAACAATTAAACAGTTTTTCGTATAATTTCAAGTAACAGGTGATAATTCTTTCTACTACAAAAGAAAGTATTAAAAACACATTAACTCCGTTCTATTTCATTAAGAAAAAAATTAGCAATAAATGAGGTAGGATAAATCACGTTACTAGGGTCGAAGATCAACTACCAGCATAGTGCAACCCCTTGATTAATACTCACTGACCCGTAAAGAACATTCACTACATAGATAAAAACATGTGTTAACTCATCAAGTAATCATAAAAAAAACATCAACTATTCACAAAAAGTGGCTAAAAGTTTTTTTTCATGCCACATTTGGCGACTAAACGGAGACTATTCATTGTCCAAAATCCAATCTTGTCTTTCACTTTTGTGACGAGTAGTCTTTCATTACTGCAAAAAACAGATTAACAGTTGGAAATTTTTCTGTCTCATTGTGCTGTCAAGCTTATAAAGATGAAATTAATGGACGGCGTAAATTAAGTGAATCAAACCTATGACCTTTAGAACAGTTAAATGAGAAAGAAAGCATTATGTGCATCAATAAAAGGGTGTAGTTTTATGCTTTTTATTGTGAGTTAAGTTATGTAACAAAAAATTTTATATTATTTAAATTTACGTAATAGAACTCATCAGTCGCGATTTTTTAATAATATAATTTTTATTAGATTTAAATGCTGGGAAACAGTTTGTAAAAACGCTAAAGAAATTCTATTGAAATTGAAACACATGAGGTTTTTAATTTGTACTGTTTTAAATTATGGTATAAAATTTTTTTTCAATAAATTTCCCGATAATTCTGTATTTTATCGTTTTTCATTTAAGACTAGAACGTTTTAAGAAAGAATATCAATTTAATAATTCCTTATAATGTGAGCAATGATTGGAAAAATTACATCATTTTTGTTGTTTACAGCAACTACAAATACTTAGTTACAAATGTAGTTAAGTACAACTACTTTGTTACAAATATAGTTAACTGCAACTACAACTACTTTGTTGAAAATGTAGTTAACTGCAACTACTTTTTTTAAAATGTAGTAACTGCAAACTACTTTGGAATTGTAGTAATTACTTCACTACTTTAAGGAGACGAAATTAGCTGGAGAACTTAAATTACACCTATGTTCAAAATGGTTTTGAATTACAATTTAGCTAACAATAAATAGAAAGGAATAATTACTTCACTACTTTAAGGAGACGAAATTATCTGGAGAACTTAAATTACACCTATGTTCAAAATGATTTTGAATTACAATTTGGCTAGCAATAAATAGAAAGGAATAATTGAGAAATATTTATTCATGTTTACATGAACCAAATCATTGCTCCAATTTTTTTCTTAATTAGTTCATTTAATTTTCAACTTTTTATGTCTTTTTCAATAGCGAATATTTAATTTCAGAAATACGACATTGTCAAATACTTGCAATTTTTTAACAATTTAATGCTCTTTTATTTTCACTAAAAAATTAAGTACAACGAAAATACATTCCCTACTTTTAAATAACACCATTGTTTAACGAGTGTGCGTTTGCTTGTGAAAGTGTGCCCGAAGTGATTAATTGTCTATTTTTCGCTATGGCTCGTTTAAATATTAGTTATACGTAATTTTAAATACATAACTTCTGCTAAAGCTCAGCTCCAGCTTCAGGGTCATTTTCATTGCATCCATAGGCAGACCTGCAAAGATTTCTACCCATAAAATTCGAACAATTAGCTGCATTAGAAAAATGTTTCTTTTCTGCCAGTAATCACTACAAACTTTTTGTTCTAAGTATCGCACCACTCCTTACGTTATTTAATTTTTTTTTTTTAAGTAGCACACTGCACTACAAACTCCAAAAAAATGTAGCGAATACTGTAGTTTCACTACTTCCAGTACGCTACTTCCGACCACTGACTGTGAATAATAATGCATAAAATAATACATTTTTTTACGTAGTGCTATTTAGATCTCGAGAAGATGTTAAACCAAAAAATAAAAGTCTCTAAGTTACAAATATTACAAATCCGATTCAAAATTCAAATGAAACACACGCACATCTAGATGAAACACAGATCACGTGCAAATGGAAGAAAGAAACTTAAAATCATTTTAAAATGATCCATTAAATCGTAAAATTTAAATCCAAAACAGTTTAAAATAACTAAAAAATTTTAATTTTTAAGCACATTCAAAACAAGCAGCTATTGTGAGGCTAGTAGATGAGTATCAAATGTTTGTATTCCTGTATTTATACAGTATAAATTATTCTAAAATTAACGTTATAGTAATTACATTTCAGAATTAATTATTCCAAAATTACACTGTTTTAATTTTGTAATAAATTACATTTTGTAATAATTTATTGCAATAAATTACACTGTTATAATTTTCATTCTAAAACTACGTAAAAATAACTGCAGCACTCGGGAAATAAAATTAGCTATAAAGTTTGCAGTTTAGAACATTTCTTTTTCCTTTACGGTTTTAATAACTGTTAAACCGTTTACAACTGTGACGGTGAAAAGGAACTGTGAAAACAAAACCATACGGCTTCGGGACCATTTATAACTAGCTTGGCTTCAAAACCGTAAAAATGAAATTTAGCTGGATATTGGAGTTAGATTATGTCAGGTATTTCGTTAAGTAATGAACAATGAAGTTAGGTTGCAGTTGAAAATGTGTTTTTTCAAGTGAACCTCGGAACGTCGCTTATCTAGTAGTGCCATCTATCGTAAGAGATTAGAAATACGAGAATGTTTTGTATCAATCAGTTTTGTGGTGCTGCCATAAATGCGTGAATGAAAGTTTCGTGTTCTAATACTCCAGGGTCTCCAATTAATGAGTGTATGACACGAGAAGCACTTCATGCCCTCAAGGAATCGAAGAAATATTGTTGTCAACTCTGGAATTCTAACCCCCGTTCATGAAGTTGATAGATTATCCCTCTTGGCTACAGTGTGTCCCCAGCTGCAAGAAATCCAGTGGCTTCATCAGCTTAACTTAGTTGATTTGTATAAAATTCCAGTTTTTGAACCATATTAGATTAAAATATATAGTTAACAATTTTTCACACAGTTAATCACAGTTTGAATACCATTTTTCACCATAGTTTTTGAACCATATTAGATTAAAATATATAGTTAATGATTTTTCACACAGTTAATCACAGTTTGAATACCATTTTTTATGTGGGACTGTTTTGGTTGGATATGGTAAAGTAAGATAAATAAGTTGTTTTTTAACGATTTTTTTCTGCAACTCTCTGTAGATGTTGATCTAGTTTACGTAAAAAGAGTTTAATGACAAAACTCAAAACTTTTTTTATCAAAAAAATTTTTTTGCAACAGTCAGAAAGTTCTTTAACAACTGTTACTGTAATAAAAATGCCATTCATTTCAGATTTTCAACTTACAAAGGAACTCAGCTTGTCGAAAGAGGCAGTTACGGGGTATATCAACCAATTCAAGAAACCTCTCACCTCCATAAAAATGTCACAATATTTCACACAGTCAGATGTGAAACAGATTACATGTCCCATTAAGAAAATATTCTCTCATGGGGTTCTTCAATCGGATATTACAATGTGTGGTAAATAAATCAGAACTAAAAGGTTATAAAATAGAACATCGATTCGGAATGTAATAATCGTAGTATACCTGCTCCGAATACAAAATAACATAGTTGTACATAAAACTGCTACTCTCGATAACAAAGATAAAATGAACTTATTGTATTTTATGCGTGAAGTGACAGAAAAAGGAAGCTCAAAAATCATCAGAGTGTGATTGCTATCAGACAGCTATTGATTGAAGCAATCTTTATTAGTTGATTTTAAAAAAAAATGTAGCTGTCAGATCAAAAACAATGGCCATGCTAACAAGGACAAGGACATCAAGACTAAATTATTCTTTCAACTAGAAACGCAATGTGTGTCTAATAAACTGTTAACGAGAACTCCATTCTCGTTTGTGTATATTTCTCTATTCGCCAATTCGTAGGGTAAAAATATTAGTTTCAAAGCTATTTTGTTTAAAACTGTTGAAAAAATAGATCCATATTTGCATTCTTGAGCATAAACATAGCATTCAGCGCTGTGTATGTTGTTAGAAATTTCTGCTTCATCAGATTATGTATCACTTGAGTGGCAGGCAATGGATTGGATCGGAAAGCCTAACAAATCTCACGTAATCTGTTTTTATTTTTTAAATTTTTATTATTATCAAATATGGCCTTTTTATCTAATGCCCATTTCTTCATTGAACCATTCTGCAATACATGATTAAGGTTAACTCCTCAATTAGATGTCCAAGAAAAGAGGAGCAAAGTAATGTAATCCATAGAGGAGCAAAAAAAATAACTTTCATTAAATTAATTAAAAGAAAAAAGAAATTTATAGCAAAATATATTCATATATATTCATAATATATTCATAAAAAATTCAATATAGATTCTCAATTCATTAATTCAATATATATTCTCAATTGATAAAAAATTCAATATCTATCAATTTTCATGAATATGTAATTTCAATATATATTCAGAAAAAATTGATCTTTGTTTTAAATTTATTCGTATGAAAATGTATGCGGAAATTATGCAAAAATAAAAAATTAATTCCTTCAGACAAAATATTCTTAATTTTTTTTATATGTAAAAATATATTTAAATTTTAATAACCTATCAATAAATTTGTTTCTAAGTCATATAAGTATTACTTTTCATAAGATAATTTGCTTAACCCTTTGACACAGAATTTTTATTAAGATTTTTTTCATATTGTTTTGCTTTGAGCCAAAATAAGTGAAAAATATTTTATTATATATTTTAATAGTTTATTTTCCTGAAATACAGCAAGAGACATCGGTATCTTTTCTGCGTTAAAGGTTAAATATTCCAAACACGGTTCACTTCTTAACAATAATTTTTCAAATTTGCACTTATTTGCAGTTCGAAGAGAAACAACTATTTACGATTAAAATTTCTTTAATTTACAAAAGCAATTACTGATAAGTGTTATAATATGAATAAAAGAATTCAAACTACATTTTTGGATTTGTATTTAAATACAAGTATAATTTCTGCAATATGACTGATTTTTAGCAACTATTGCATCTCTTTTATCATTTAGAAATACAAAAATATATTTTTGTTTGTAATCAGAGCGTCAAAAGAAATATTTAAATGTGGCATCGGTTTCCCTTCTGCGTCAAATGGTAAAGTCAAATAGTTTCTTAAAAAAAAAAAAAGAAATTAACAAAAGCAGTAATACTAATTCGTTGTATTCCCCTTTCAGCCGAATTCTTAGGGCCATTGTCCCCAGCGCCCCTTCTCCCCTCACGCCACTTACATTTTTTATAGTGCAACTATAAAATATGACGCCTGAAAATTGTATTTCTATGTTCTTTAAAAAAATTAATATATGTGTTACTCGCATTTACGTCTATCAAACGTGTTGCGTACAGTGTTACACTAATACCTTAAAAGTCCTTAAAAAAATTTTTTTCGAAGAAACATTTTTCAATTTAACACTGAATCAAATTATTTAAAATCTTAAGCTAATAAAATCTTTTTTCCTACCAGTGTAGTAGACTTAAGGAGGTGTAGGGGTATGAAGATGGTTTGAAGTTGAAAACTTTTGCACAGTTTTAAATAACTTTCAATCAAGTTACGATTAAAGGAAGTAAAAAAGAAAACTAAATTCGCGGCACTTCAGTGTAACAGAAATCATTTTAATATTGACCAATTTACATGCTACAGAGGGTGTTTAAAGTTTTCTGATCAGAAGCAGTCACAGTTCAGAAAAGGGTTATCTCATTGGTAAGCAAACGCTCTATCCCCAGACCCACCAAGTTACCCCATCCATAAGTTTTAGTATATGCACTGTCATAGCAAGTACAACCTTCTATAAGTTTATAGCAATGGTAGTGGAATACTCTTTGCACATCACATTTGCTTTTGAAATTATTCATATTTCGATTTCCTTATTTACCATTTTTTCGCCACCGATATCGCTAACATTGGATTACAGAAAATAATATAAAAATATATAATAATAAAGTCTTTCGATACTTAATTTCTGTTTTAATTTAAATTTATTTTTATGTTTATTTAATATATTGCAATAAATATAAAAAAATCTCTATTAAAAAAAGTAGTTCCAATAATTGGGTACTTGAAAAGTGAAGTGATTTAAATCAGATTGAACAGGATGCTTGTAAGGGACATCACGCGTGTGTGCTGAACCTGATTGGCTATTGAATCGACAAATGTCATGATTTACCAACGATGAAATCTTTTTCAGACATAAAATTGAGCATTAAAAATATTTTAATTTCATTACCATGAGTTTTACATTTTCATTATATCAGCATGGAATACCACAGGGGACATCTCTTTGAGCAACTATTTGATTACAATAACACTTAAACTAATATTAAACTTTTTTTCATTTACTTCATTAAACTTAAACGTCTTAAGATAACAACATTGTATAGATCATAAAAGAAAAACCTTTTACATCAAAATATCCTCCATTTTTAACATTAGAGTTTTTGAAAACTATATGTGTAATTAAATAATCAGAAAATTTATTTTTTTTAATGTTCAGTATAATTATACTTTAAATTTATGTCAGTTGAATTTGATACATTATTTCTTCAGCCATGATTGAAATGTAACTATCCATAGAAGAAATTAATTCATAGTTTAGTTAAGTTTTTTGTTCTCGTAATTATCTTGGCTGTCTAGTTTTCGCCTTTTTTTACAGCTTTGTTGTAGTTTAATTAACTACGTTCATTATTTTAATTTATTTTGTGTGGCAGGTGTTACGGAAATTAAATTTCAATAAGACAGTTAATTACAAATAAAATGCAACACAAAGCTGTTAGTTATACCTAGTCTTAATGAAAAATAAAACCTGACACGTTAATTATATTTATAAATAATTGATTTATTCAATAAATAAAGAAATATAGATGTTACGATCCTAATTAAGATTGCGTCAAAATCCAGAACAACTAATCAATCAATTATTTATTACGTTTCCAGAAGCATTTATGAATATTGTCTGTGTTTTTCCTAATGAATCTAACAGATGATTTCACATACGTTTTTTAAAAGATTTATTTTGAAAACACAATTTAATATCGAGTTGTGTTAAATTGATTCAAACTATTTTGAAATTTCTAATTTCAAATATAAAACAGTTTTATATCTTTGACAATATCAGGCGCATACATGTCTTTGATGTTGTAAACACTTAATTTGCTTCATAAATTATAAAGATGAAAAAGTAAAAATGCTGAAAAATAGGTGCCCATACTAAGAACTTAACAGACGTGAATAAGAGGGGGAAAATATTTGATAAAAAAGCACAAAGTTGCCAATAAAAAAATAGACAATTAATAAAATAAAGATGAAAAACAAGACTAGAGGAACTGGTAACCGAGAGGCAAATCAGCGCAGGATGCACTTTCAAGCTCTATTGGAAGGAGATAAGGACTTCGTGTCGTTAACAATTTAATCGGCATTCATACATTGAGAAAAAGTATGATCAGAACTACCGGAATACATTAAAATCTACCGTATTTACAACTCCACTGGAGCAACGAAAAACCCCTTTCTAAAGATTTTGGTAGTTGTTGACGTATGGCATTAAGACAGAGGGGGTGTGATTGTTCTTGTTTTCCAGTAACGCCATCTATGGTCAAGAATTCAACTTCTGCCACACCCATACGTCACACCCGTTTATAGGGCCGACCCATTCATACATCTACTCATTCATCCATTGATTTTGGTAAAATTAACAATAAAATATGGTTTTGTAAAATGCGATAAAAGTTGTCATATAATTTAGTAGTTTTTTCATAATATCTTAGAACATAGCGCGAAAACCCTTTATTCGGTTAAATTTACTTTACAGTTTTGTATTTTTGTTAAACGTGTGGTAATAAGAATTAAAATTTTTGAGCCCAGTATTTCTGATAAACCGTTACTAGCTATGGTAGAACAGTTATATGGCAGAAAAATTATTAAATGAATGTTTTAAATACAGTATATGTTTTGGTTTTTTGACAAGAGCTTCATTATCATACAGTGCGGTAGTTTTACCAGAATTTTTATCGGCATGTATGAATGAAACTGGATTCTCCAGAGCATCAAGATGAAGAATTCACATTATCAATCATGTCTTTCCCCTCGGTTTCGTTTCATATCTATGTACTATTTACTCTGAACATCTTATAAATAAAAAATCTCAGCGCAAGGGCTTATGTCTTTAAAGTTTTTTTAATGTATGTTTTCAGTTGCTTTTTTTGTATAAGGGAGAATGTATTGAAACGTGACCGCCTATTTATAACATAAAGAATGTCTTTATTCATCTACTTATTTTTTCTCCACATTTTAGAATGTAATTTTAAGTTAAAATAATACTAATAATGATATGAATTTTTGCCATCATGGTAATAGGTTATACACTGTTAGAATTTCCTTTCTAAAATGATGGTAAAATGGCCGGCAGCAGTCTGTCAATCCAATTAACCGTAAAGTTTACGATAAAAACATATTTTACCATTACGGTTTCAAAACCATTACAAATAATATAGTTAAAATACAATCAATAAAAAAACTATTCTGTTTTTAACTATTCATAAGGGAGATGGCAACAGCTCGTAGCCGATGAAGGTTGTGTTTATTTACTGTCTGATTTTCTAAGTTTAAAAGTCTGTTTTTATAGGTATTTCATTATATATTTTGTGATATTCAGTTTTATCGAGATAAAATAGTACCGCATGGTGATTTTGGTGGTGTTTTGTTGAAAATTGAGAGTTTTATGAGTGTTTTACGATTTCAAGCCAAGATGGCGGTGTGTTTACGTTTTGTNCATTTCGTTAGTATAAGGGTCTGTTGGCCTGAACGGTACAACACCAAGCACGATCAATATTGTTTTAATTTGTTTTTA